TCGTCGGAGCTTTTGTTTGCGGGAGCCCTGCCAAGGCCGAGCCCCAAAAGCCGCCAGACAATTATTATTGTTGCTCCTCCGCAACAGCCACACCACGACTCTCTCGCTCCCCGTCTCGCCATGAACTCGGTGCGCGCCATCCAGCAGCTCAACAAGCGCGAGCTCGAGGCCGGCATCACCCCCGAGGGCTCCTGGCACACCGACTACCGCGACACGGCCTTTGTCTACATCGGCGGCCTTCCCTTCGAGCTCTCAGAGGGTGACATCATCACCATCTGCTCGCAATTCGGCGAACCAGTCTGGATCAAACTCGCGCGCGACAAGGAGACGGGCAAGTCACGGGGCTTTGCTTGGATCAAATATGAGGACCAGCGCAGTTGCGACTTGGCCGTCGACAATCTGGGCGGCTCAACCATCATGGACCGCATAATACGTGTTGACCATGCGCGTTACAAGCCCAAGGATGACGAAGATATGAGGGACAACACCATGGGCGAGCTGGACCTTGACCCAGACGACGACTCGGACGGGGGCAGGCGCAAGAGGCGGAAGACGGAGAGCGACTCTGAGGACGACATACCACTTCTCCCTGAACAGCTCGAGCTTGAGCGGCTTATGGAGAAATTGGACGAGGAAGATCCTATGCGCGATTACATGATCAAGGCTCAGCAAGAAAAGGTCGGCGAAGCGCTCAAAAAGTTCAAAAGAAACCAGCGCAAGGAGAAAGACAAGGAGAGGAGGAAGCACAAGCATCGACACAGAGATAGGTCCAGAGACGACGAACGTGACCGCAGCAAGAGGACAATCAAAGATGCTCGAGACGCAGATGCAGACAAACACAGTGAGCGTCATACTCGGCGTAGAAGGTCTCGAAGCAGAAGTCAGGATGCTCACTCGGACGAAGATCGCCGGAAACGAGACAGAAGCCGCGAGCGACGCCATCGACACAAGGATACTCGCGATCGTGATGTGCGCGACCGGCATCGTGCTCGGGAGCGTCGCAGCCCCAGCTCTGTCGACGAGGACCAAGACAAAGAGCGGCCACGGTCGAAACGCTCACCTTTGCCATATCGCGCTCGCTCTCCACGACGGCCTCGCGAAGCTTCTCGTTCCCGAACACCCCCATCAAAGCCTGATGCAAGTCGCAGTCGTTCATGATTACGGATATAAACCTAGTCATCCTCGTGCATGAGCCAAAGCAAACCTACAATCAGCGTTGAGATCGCGCATACACAATTCAGATACCCACCCTAGTACGAGCTTGATGCAACATTGCTACTCGTAAGTATTTTTTGCAAACAACACATCTTACAAAGATATCCAAATATATCTCATCTTTATCCGGATTAGAATCTGAATGGATCAATGGTGGACCCGTCCCTATACGACTCAATTGTGAAGCATCTCGCTCCTATGTACCGCGAATCTTAGAAACTAAGGAGACGCACACCTCAGAAGACATGAAAAAGCCGAATCTTGTCTCCAATGTAACTTTTAGTTTCGAAGATGTACACTCCTATCTAGAGATCGTGTGAAAAAAATCCACAAAGAATTTCCAACAAACCGAAGATCTTTCTCCGTTTGTAGTGATTCGCGTATTTTCAGTTGTATAAATCCCTGCTCAAATGTGCTCACCTGCAGGTCATTGTCAGCAGTTGTCCGACAGTGTTAAAAGCGTTTGGGCAGGTAAGATGTTTACGTCATCACGAATTGTGTTACTTATGAGAACGACCTGAGGAGATGCTCAATCATTTCTAGTACTACAACATTTCAAGGTACAACACAAGGTTTGTTTCGTAAAGAGAATGGCACACCTCACACGAGCCGAAGTTTTAAAGTCGGGAGAGGTCTCGCCGGAGTATAGGAAAGTAAGCAGATTGCCTCACGTTATCTAAGTACCTATTCAGTGAACGATGTTCCATTATATACACAATCATATACATTCTTCTTCTCAATGTATTCCCCTCAAAAACAGGTCTAACTCAAACCCTAGGCTTTCGAAGCCCGACCCACAGACGTAGCAAGACCAGACTTCTTCGCATCCCGCGCCGCTCGAGCCGACCACCTCGACAAGCTCCGCCACCTCTACCCCATCCCAGGACCCATCCCAGACTCAGTTACAGAGACCCTGCATGACGTTCCTACGCGAGATGGCTCGTCGATCCGCGTACGCGTCTACCAACCTAAAGCTGGACCGCCGGAAGGCGGAAGTCCCCTCATCATGATGTACCACGAGGGAGGCTGGAGCATGGGGGATCTCAGTGACGAAGATTTGAATTGTAGGATGTTTGCACGGGATCTACGGGCTGTGTGCGTTAATGTTGAGTACCGGTATGTCCTTCCCCTCCAACACATACCCAGATATCCAGAACAATCATGCGTGAACTGCAACCACAAACTCACACCCCCACAGCCTCGCCCCAGAGCACAAATTTCCCACCGGCGTCCACGACAGCTGGGACGCGCTGCAATGGGCCCTCGCCCACGCGCCCTCCCTCCACGCAACACCCACAGCCGGCCTCATCGTCGGCGGCGCCTCAGCAGGCGGCAATATCGCCGCCGTCCTGGCCCTGCTCGCCCGCGACGAGAACCTCTCGCCCCCCATCACAGGCCAGTACCTCTGCATGCCCGCGCTGCTCCCGCACACAAACGTCCCCGCGCACCTGGCGCCCCTGTACCAGTCCCGCACGCACAGCGTCTCGGACCCCGTGCTCAAGGACCTGGTGCCCGGCGCCATCGAAGCCATCTACGAGCCCGACCCGACGTCGCCGCTGTACGACCCGTTTAACCACCCGGCCGGACATGTGGGCGTTGCAAAAGCGTTTTTCCAGGTCGGCGGGATTGATCCGTTGAGGGATGAGGGTGTGCTGTATGATGGGGTGTTGAGGGGGAGTGGGGTGTTGACGCGGTTTGAGTTGTATAGGGGGTTTGGGCATGTGTTTTGGACGAATTATCCCGAGATGGAGGCCAGTCGGGGGTTTGTGAGGGATGCGTTGGAGGGGGTGAGGTGGTTGCTTGAGAAGGAGGTTGGTGTAGGTCAATGAGACCTTTTGGGAAATCAAGGATGGTGGTGGTCCATATGTTGCGAAGCTTGGACTTGGGTCCATTGCATTGAGGCTCACTAGACGCTGAGTTCTGTTCATCCGATCATGCTCATTACAAGTTTGCCACCCTACTGCTCAGAACCTCTCGCGCCTCTTTTCTCAATGCTTCTACAATGACCCCCGCACTCTCCACCTTCTTCACCAACCCCACTCCAGTACCAGCCCAAATAGCTGCCCGACCTTGCAATCCAGTCTGATAGCCTTTGTCTTGTTCCTGAACAGCCGCATTATGCAGCTTCTGAATCTCCTCGAGCTTCACCCCGCTTACAAAGTCCTTATGACTCTGCACAACTAAGCTACGCCCATCGTAGTCCCCTGGCCAGATATTCGGACCTTTCAGCTCATCGAACAGCTTCGACCGCGTAGTCGCCTGACCGCCATCTTGGGCCTCCAACACCGCCGCCTGATAGTTAGGATGAATCTTCACCTCCTCAGCAGCGAGGAAACGCGTCCCCAACACTACTCCCTGAGCACCCAAGGCAAGCGCAGCAGCAACTCCCCTCCCATCGGCAATGCCTCCAGACGCCACAAGCGGGATATGCGAGAACCCTGCCTCCGCCAATGCATCTGCAGCTTCAGGAAGTAGCGAGATGATACTCGCACTCTTCTCAAATCCATGGCCTCCTGCGTCTGCGCCCTGCAGACACAGCACATCCGGCTTCGCAGACCGTGCAACATGCAGCGCAGCAGCCACATTCCCAACTTGCACCCACACCTTCGTCTCAGGCGAAACCTTCCTCACCGCCTCCGCCCACACGGCATAATCATCCAGCTCCCGAGCCGCAAACAGCCAGATCACCGCGGGCCTATACTCCTCGACCACAGGCAGCATGTCCTCGAGCTTGACGACGAACGGCAGCAATCCAACGCCCACGGGCAGCACTTTTGCAGAAGAGGTATGTGGGTGGGCGGAGAGTGCGGCAGATGCGATGGCGAGGTCTGCACGCAGTTCTGCGGCACTGAAGAGGCCCCCGATCAGACCGAGGCCGCCGGCGAGGGTGACGGCGGAGGCGAGGGCGCCGCCTGCGAAGTCGGCCATGGGGGCGTTGATGATTATGGGGGATGAGGTCCATGGGAGGTGGGATTTGAGGGGTGCCATTTTGAGAGAGATTTGGGGGCAGGAATGAAGGCCGAGGAGCAAGGGGGAGATTGAGAAAAGAGATGGGATGGTATGAGATGGAAAGAGAATCTGCAAAGAGAAGGAGTCTTTTTCGAGGAAATCTGACAAAGATGAGTAGGTAGGTATCTACGTCTGCGAACGAACCCACCGCCTCTAAAACCCGAGGCTCGACGCGAAAAGAAAGAAAGATGACGCCAGGTAAGCACAAGCACAAGCACACGTCCGCTCCACTCCCCATCGCCCAGTTCCTTGGTCTTACCTCAAGAGCAGACCAAAAATCGTCTAGATAGATATCTCCTTCCGCTCAAGTGCTGACTCGGAGGCAAAAACAAAGGCCCGCGACTTACTAATCCCTAGGTTGCTCTCGTCCGCAAAAAGACTCGCTTGTTGACGTCCCATCTTACATTACTCTGCCTGCGGAGTGAGTGATTAGTGTACGAGGAGGGAAGTCGTCGAGGATGGCATAGCGCGGGCTAAGACTGGACCACTGGTAAGAGCGAGCGAACCAACGGCGTCAGCGTCTCCGTTGCCGCACCCCACCGCCTTCCAAGCCCTACCTGTGCCTGCGTGCCTGCGTGGCGTAGCGTCGAGTAGCGTAGTGCGCCGGACCGGACCTACCAGGCAATAATTAACCAGCCAGGCACCCAGCCCAATCTAAGTAAACCCCTGACCCACACCGCCCAATCGAAATTTTCCACACGCTGGAAGCGATGCAGTGCGTGAGTTTGGTGAGGAGGATATAACAATGTTATTTTTGAGAATTGGTAAATCACGTCGGCTCGATGGTGTAGTTGGTTATCACGTTCGCCTCACAAGTCTCCATGCTTGCTGTTGTTACGCGAAAGGTCCCGAGTTCGAGCCTCGGTTGAGTCAGATTGATTTTTCTTTTTTGTTTTTGGTGCAGAAAGAAAGGATGACCGTGTCTGCAGAGGAAGCGATGGCTATTTTCTATCATTCTTGTTTTCAGGGTGGCTAGAGTTTTTTTTTTTTTTCTCCAGGAGCTGTGTTATTGGGTACTGCAGCGAGAGAGTTGGTAGTATATATTGGGACGGGCGCAGATGTTAGATGGACATTCCATCATTCGCTGAAACTTTTACTCTCGTCGATTTCTAGAATAAATGCGACAACTTTCCATCCCTAGATCCTAGATTTACTTGGAAACGACCATCAACATGCATCTCGTCTAAATGGTATGCGAATCAGACGTCATGAGTACATCTTCGATCCCAACGGCGCATTTCGGTAACTCTCCACATCCCGACCAACACCATTGTTCCGCGTCAGCACTGCCGCTCATGGTACCCCGCATACACGAAGTGACGAACTCAAGATTTAAAAGCAATTCATCTTGAGATTGCCGAAGGATTAGACTGCGCCCCGAGAAAGAGAGTCAGGTGCCAAGTGTCAGTATGTGAACACTAGATGTCGGGGAGACCAAGCGTTAGTGCTGCGCCTTACGTTGGGCGAAGCTTTGAAGCTCCCGGGACTATGGCTCTTGGCCTTTGAGTTCACGATGGTTTGCCCGTAGAAGTGCATATTACACGTTTCGAAACATATTAAAATGCGTTCAAGTCGAAGCATGCCGGGACTTCCTTTACATCCGGCATTCTTTTCCCAGAGATCGGCCTCACAACGCTTGTACTAGTCTTTACCCCAGACCCCAGACCCAAAGTGGAACCATTTCCCACCACAGTTCTTCGGCTGCGAGCATCCATCAGAAGAGCGAGGCGGTTTTTGACTCGCGTCCCTATCTCGTTTCGTCCATGGTTCCACGAACACGCAAATACGCAGCGAATCACTGCTGCCCCGTGGAGAACAATCTGCCTTGAGCCCTTGTTCAGGATGCATGCACAGTAACAGTATCAGGACCCGGGCTAAAGGAACACGTAGACTGGGTGTAGCTAATGGACGTCGAATCGATGAAGCCTTCTCGACAGTTTGCGGCTCCGGTACCTAGGTACATGATGCGAACTAGTGATGTCCAAATTACCATATTTCCATCGTTTCAATCCTCCAGTATTCATCATATACTCTTTCTCTACCCTACTTTCCAATCGCACCTTCTCTTCCCTCCGAGTCTGCACATTCCCCCAGTGAGCACGCTTGCCCACAATGACAGCAGACAGCAGCAAACCTCCGACCAAAAAGTCTCAGTTCAACGCGTACAACTTCTTAGTATGCTTCCTCGTCTCGCTAGGACAGGTCGCTTTTGGGCATCCTGCTTCCATTATCGGAACGACCTTGGGTGAACCCCCGTTTCATGTCTACATGAAGCTTGTTGATGCGGAGGGGAAGCCCACGCCTGAGTCGACATCGCTGATTGGGACGATGAATGGCATTTTTCAGGTAGGCATTTCTACTGACTGAAGGGTCATTCAAGCATGTGGTTCAACACGAAGTGAGCTAATATCATCAAGGCTGGCGCTGTTCTAGGCATTCTCTCAAGCTCATACATCATGGACAGATGGGGGCGGAAAGCAGGCGTTATATACTGCGCTGTGTGGTCTCTTGTCGGCGGTGCTTTACTCTGTGGCTCAGTCAATGTATCCATGTTCATCGTCGCAAGATTCATCGCCGGTTGGGGAAGCTGGGGTTTCCTCGCAGTCAGTAAGTGTTCCCCAACCTCCACGACATTATTATTGTCACTATACAACAAGCTGTGTTGACATGGGAATCAGCACCAACCTACTCCGCCGAACTGGCACCCCCAGGCCTCCGCGGTTTCTTCGTCGGCATGAACGGCGTCAACATCGCGCTCGGCTACGCAATAGCCTCGTACATGGGCATGGCATTCTACTTCGCTTCCTCCGACGCCGCGAAATGGCGCGGGCCCCTCGGCATCGCACTCATCTGGCCCGCAATGATGATCGCAATCACTTTCATTGTCCCCGAGTCTCCTCGCTACCTGCTCATGAAGGGCCGGGTCGAAGAGGCGCGGAAAATCGTGTACAGATTGCATACTGTCAAAGGCGACACGGAGCAGGAGTTTGCACGAGGAGAGTTCTACCAGATGCTCAAGCAGACGGAGGTTGATCGGACGCTGGAGCCAGGGTGGTGGGCTATGTTTACGAAGAAGGGGTATCGACGGCGTACGGCGCTTGCTATGGGGTTTGCGTTTGTGGGGCAGTCGACTGGTGTGTTGGTGATTAATAATTATGGTCCTACGCTTTATGCTACGCTTGGATATGACACGTAAGTCTTTGTTTTTCAATCAATATTGAACGATGGAAGTAGCGGACACTGATTTGCAAACTAGAAAGCAGCAACTCGAACTCCAATGCGGTTGGATCTCGGTTGGTATTCTCTTCAACGCCGTTGGTGCAGTCTTCATGGACAAAGTCGGTCGCAAACCACTCATGCTCTTCGGTGTAGCGGGGTGTGCAGTGTGTCTGATCGTTGAGGCCGCAATCGTTGCTACGTACGCAGAAGAAGCCACGAACAAGGCCGCTCTCGCTGCTGGCGTTGGTACGTTTCGAGACCTTCAATCTCGTGACGCCTCCCTATTTGCTGACATGCCCCAGCTATGTTCTATATATTCCTCGCAGTCTACAGCATGGGTGTTGATGTTGCCGGAGTGGTGTTTTACTCTGAACTCTTCCCAAATCATATCCGCGCAAAAGGAGTTTGCCTGTCCATGGCGACGGTTGCGCTTACCGACCTCGTCTACTTGCAAGCTACAACAACAGCTTTTGCGAATATTGGGTGGCGATTCTATTTGGTTTTCATCATAATCTGTTCAATTGGTGTGGTGTTCTTTGCTTTTGTGAGTTATTCCTTAAAACATTCTCTGAATCCCAGGTAAAGTTTCGCTGCGGGCAGGATGCAAAACTGACATTCTTTTAGACGCTCCCAGAGACAAAAGGCATTCCCCTTGAAGAGATGGCTAGGATCTTTGGCGACGAGGTCGTTGTCAAACTTGAAGATGTACATATCAACCATAATACGCATGAGCTCGTCATCGGTGGCGTAGAGAAGAACGGACTCGAGCATGTTGCCACACATCAGGGACTTACGCCGGAGATTGAGGCGGCTCTCAAAGCGGAGAGGGAGAAGGTGGGAAATACGACTGATCACGAGCACAAGGAACATGCCAAAGCATAGAATAGGTCAACCAGAATGTGTAAAACATGGGGTGGAGGTGTCATTGGCTGGGATCGTGAGACAATGGCGACTGAAGCCGTCGAATTGGGACAAGTGAAAGGTAGACAAATAGATGTTACTTTTAAACGGTCGGGCGAACTCTACAGAAGATATGTTTTCACTCTAGATACAAAACTTCTAGTTGATGTCAAAAGTTGAAATGGCGGTGATGACGAATAATCAACTTGATGCTGAATGCGCAGACGAAGAGCAATGACATAGGACCGAACTCAGAAACATCAGAAAATAGTGCAATCTCATGCAAGTACAGTTTAATGGAAGAGATACTTCCTAGTACACCTAATCTTGTACTCTACGTAAGGGTTATTTGAGTCCACTGCCAAAAAAAAAAGAATTCCTTCCCACCCAAATCATGATGTAACTTAGCAAGTGACAAAAATCATCAGAGGTCTCCGCACATCTCCCGGCAATTATGTATTCGAGACCTGAATCCAAAGCGGCCTTCATCATACTACAACAGTAATAAGCTATAGCTTTGGCTTCGCACCCCCTTCAGCCTCCGCCCACTCCCTCAACACTCTCTTCAAGATCTTCCCACTAGGACTCTTCGGAATCTCATCCAAAAAGACCACGCCGCCCGTCAACTGCTTGTAGGCAGCCAATTTCTCTTTGATCAACCCCTTTACCTCTTCTTCAGTAATATTCGTCCCTGGCTTGCGAACTACATAGGCACGTGGCGACTCGGTATCAGAGCCTGGTTTGGCTGCCAGTCCGATGACTGCAACGTCGACGATACGATCTACGGCTTCGAGAAGTACGGCTTCGAGCTCTGGAGGTGCGACTTGAAAGCCTCGGACTTTGATGAGTTCCTAAAGTAGCGTTGAGTGCTGAACGTTCGAGGGGCAGGTGGCTAGGAGTACCTTTTTGCGATCAACAATGTACCACTTCTTTGTCTTGCTGTCACAGTACAAGATATCTCCGGTGTGTAAGTACCCATCCTCATCCCACGTCTCGGCATTTGCTTTCAGGTTGTTGTGGTATGCCCTTACGACCGTTGGGCCGCGCACACATGCTTCACCTCGGACATCGAATGCTGTGATATCTTTACCTTCTTCGTCAACCAGCCTGCCTTTTGTTAGTTTCGAATGATTGATACTATATTGAGTTTATACAGACTTGATATCAGTGTTCGGCATGAGCCTTCCCACACTTCCCGAATCGTCTGCCTCGGGGTAGTAGAACAAAGTGATTGCCGATGTCGTCTCCGTCATGCCCCAAACTTGCGTACATTTGCAATCTGGGGCGCACAGCTCCCTCAATCTTCGTTGACTGCCTGCATCGAGGGGAGCGGCTCCTACGCCTACTGAACGAACGCTCTTGAGACTGTATTTCTTCGTCAACGGAGAATTGATTATGGCAATGACAAGTGGCGGAACCATGCCAAGGTTGGTAATTTGGTGCTTTTCGATCGCAGCAAGATAAGGCTCTAGTTCAAAGCGGCGCAGAATCCAGATGGGGTGGCCTGAGCGAAATGGAGAGGCGTGGACAGCTGGGACTGTGGCCACGTGAAACATTGGTAGTGGCGAGATGTTCTTTGAAGTCCAGGGTATTTTTCCTTCTGAGATTGAGACCGTCATGGCATGATAGCTAGTGGCGTTGTAGTGACTTTGACATGCCGTTTTGGGCAGGCCAGTAGTACCTGAGGTAGTTAAGCGCGCGACATCCGTAGTCTTCAATGTTTCCAGATCATTGATCTTGATCCAATCTTCTTC